TTTCTTCCACTCAGTCTGGAATTCTAGACCAGGAGCCCAAAGTAATGCATGGCTCATGGTACAAGCTCAGCAACGACAGCCAATGGCTATAGATAGATAGATAGATAGATGATAGATAGATGATAGATAGATAGATAGATAGATAGATAGATGATAGATAGATAGATGATAGATAGATAGATGATAGATAGATAGATAGATAGATATAGATGATAGACGACAGATAATAGACAGACGACAGATAGACAGACAGATAGACAGATAGATGATAGATAGATAGATAGACAGACGACAGATAAATAGATAGAGCGAGAGATTTAAGACACAGAATGGTGTTTTTTGGAATTTTTCTGTTAATATGATTTAATAAAATACCCCCAATCAGAACGCTACTGAGTGTGGGCATAGGACAAGCAAAGCCTTTACTTTCCAGCAGCACTAGAGTGCCCTCTTGTGGCAACACACAAGCCCTGCATGGCCATGACTTTTACAGGAAGCAAAAGTGACTTTATGGGCTTCAAATAAACATTAACTCTGTACAATCCCAATACAAAATGGGTAAGGATGAAAACAGGGAGATCTGTGTTATGGAAAACGGAACTATTGCCACAGGTTATCCACTGAGGCCAACCGAGGACCTGGTTCCCAGGAAAATACAATGACCCCTGCTCTTAGGAGGTGCTGTATTTACCTTCATGACAGCGTTCCTTCTTCCACTCTTTGTCTTCTATGGTTTTCTCACACAAGCCATTCATTCCTTCCAAGTCTTATTTTCTTTACATCTCATAAACATACGGATCAATCACAGCAACAGGGTTCTCAATCAAAGATAAAATGTGACCTTGCGGCTCACTATGGGAAGGTCCTTTGTATTTGGACCAGCCTGGGGAGGCTGGGCTCAGAGGGCTTTGTGGCCCAGACATGGTGGGGATGCTGGTCTGACCACAACGGTCTAGGACAGGTGACAATCACTCTTTGAATCAGGCCTGAGGATCCCTAAGGCAGAATTTGGAGGCAACATCACAAAGGCTGACGACAGGGCTGACAACTCCAATGTGGACTACTCCCCAGATCTAGACAGGACTGTAAACTCCCTCTCTTGGGCTTTAATAACAAATGGCACTTTTATTAGATTTCTTAAGTGCCCCATGGACAGGCTGATCTTAGCACACAGTAACTGGCAGGAAATCTCATTTCCCTGGCTCTCTTCTGCAGAGCTACGCAACAGTAAAAGGCTGCTCTGACTGATCACAACTATTTTGCTCCAAGCCCTTCCCTCTCGGATAATGAACTTGGACTTAACCACACTATGAAGGCAGGTTTTCTGGGAAATGAAACGGTTCCAATGTGATACGGTCTTTCTTATTACCTACGGAGCCATCTCTCAAGCCTCCACAGCCAAATGTTTATAAAGGACCTAACATTATAAAAATATAAACTATGAATAAGTTTATATATCAAAATGATAATTTAAAATAGTTTAAGGTCTTTGTTTTTTTTTTTTTTTTGGAGGTGGAGTGGGGAGGGGGTCTTCCGGCTATACAGTCCTGGCTTTCCTGGAGATCTCTATACAGACCAGGTCAGAGATCCACCTGCCTCCTGAGTAATTTTTAACTGAGTGCTGGTCTCTAAACTAGTGTTTTCCACAGAACACAATACTGTTACAGACTTTCCACAACAAACCATCTTTCATTGATTTACTACATTTGATTTTAATCAAGAAATGTCTCGAAAAACCAAAAAAAAAAAAAAAAAAAAAAAGAAATGAAGAAGTGATTTCTTTCACTGATGTTAATAAAACAACCATATATTTTTCAAAAGGCATTAAACGTTTTCACTGTAAGCAGCCTGTAATATTTTTGCATATGGTTTTTAACCTTATGTACATTTTCTTAAATGAAAAAGAAGCTGATAGTAAACTCTCATATCTACATCAATTTCTACTTTATTTCCAACACTTGAGTATAATTTAGAGAGCAGGTAGGCTAGGTGGTGATGGTGCACACCTTTAATCCCAGCACTTTAAAGGCAGAGACAGGAAGATCTCTGTTAGAGGTCAGCCTGGTCTACAAAGCCAATTCCAGGACAGCCTGTCTCACAAAACAAAAAAGAAAACAAAACAAGAAAGGAAGAAAGAAAGAGAGGTGGGGAGGGAGGGGGGGAGGGAGGGAGGGGGAAGGGAGGGAGGGAAGGGGGAGGGAGGAAAGGGGGAGGGAGGGAGAGCAGACAGAGATGTTCACACTACTGAATCAATGTCCACAAAGTATATCCCTATAGACACTACGTGATGTATGCTCATTCCCAAATCCACTCTGGACATGTTCCACCCAGGGCTGGTTTAAGAGCAGCTTCAGTAGGCTTGCTTTGGCAAAACCAATGAATGCTGGGAGAAAGAAGATGGAGTCAAGGAGAAGCCATGGAGCTGCAGCAAGAGACAGACATGCCAAGACACACAGATTAATGGTGATGGGTTAGTTTAAGATATGAGTTAGCCAGAAATACGCTTAAGCTATTGGCCACACAGTATTGCAAATAATACAGTTTCTGTGTGGTTATTTCGGGAGTCTGGGCAGCCAGAACACACAAGCGGTCTCTACAACAGTCTAGTATGTAGGTGTCCATCTTCCAAACTCATTTCTACCACTGTCTGTCTTAGACAAAGGGATGGGAGGATCTCAGCAATCAGAAACATTAGGTTCAAATATGGCTGATTCAAGTTTGGGAGCTGGAGTTGTCAGGGCTGGGGAATGATCTAAGCAACAGGTAAAAACGGTCTCCATGTGTTCCAGGCATCTCACAACTACCCAGGTTTCACACAGGAGGGGACCCAGGAGACTCCCTGGGAAGACAAGTGGGCAGGAGCAGTCCTTTCCCACAATGTAAATTCAACACAGCTGAACTCAATGACACTGAAGTGGCTTTAAGACTGTGTTTCAGACACAAACTCAAACCCTACTTGTAAGCATTTCTAACCTTTAGACTCCCCCAACAGTGTGTGTGCCCTGAAGTTCCTGTATCAATCACCGGGAAGCGGCTCCCAGCCATAGGTAAAGGCATGTGTTAAGCTCACTTCAGGCAACACTCGGCACCCTCTTGCAGTGTGGGTCAGTTATTCATCATGACAGCCTTTACCACCTCTGATGGGGCTGGGCCTGGGGCCGAGAGCCCATCAGGAGCAGAGTGATCTGGCTTCAGGACCACCTCTCAGCCCTCTGTTGCACTTCACCGGACAGAAGGGACAGCGAAGTCCCAGAGCTTCAAACACACACAAATTAACACCAGACACTTGCAAAATAAGCAAGAAAGAAACATCCCACAAGTTTCTGACACCAAAGAGAACAGTTCTCAGCTTTCTCTTATCAACAGGAAACAAACAAACAAAAAAAAAAACCAAAGCTGCACCTGTGCCAGGTGTCGTGGATGCCTTTGATCCCAGCACGAGGCTGAAGCAGGCAGCTCTCAGTTCAAGACCAGCCTGGTCTACACAGTGAGTTCCAGGCCTCCTAGAGCTACAGAGAGACTCTGCCTCAACAACAACCACACCCTGTCTCCTAACTCATCTGGAATTTAGAAGCCTGACAATAATTCGGCAGCACGTGTCCAAACTGAACTATGTGCACATGTAGAATCCCATACAGGGTGCCAGTCAAAGTGCCCGGATGTACACAGGGTGTGTCAAGAGTAGAATGAACACTCTGATGGCCTGAACACCCATCACTGGTTCTGTGACAGACTCGGTAGACCTGCAGGATCAGGAGGGGGACAATCCCGCTCTCATCTCAGCGGGAGCATAAACCTCGCCTACTCAAACAAGCTCTAGGTGAGGGAAAGGGCAGAGAGGAAAGGAGGGAGGAAAAGTGGGGCGACAGACAGATGCTGGACACAGACTTCCTCTGAAGGTGGTAATCAGAGGGACGGGGCATCTCTCGCGTGTTCTACCTTGCAGACATCTGTACGTTTAGAGTCAGTAACTAATTATGAAACAAAAATACAAAATCCCAAGTAGCGAAGACCTTGCAGGCTAACTTTTTAAGAGGGAAGAACAGTGCAGACGAGCTCTCCCACACAGTGAGGACTGGACCACCAGACTCCACTCTCAGAACTCCTAGATTTTGAGCCAAGCTGCTCATTTCGGGGATGTTAAAGGCCAGTGCCCGGCAGGACGGCCAGGTCAGAGCGTGTCTTTACAGCTATGAGTGCTGGGGAACAAAGACTTAGACCAACAACGACTGCTGCGCGTGGTTTTGCTCACTTTATTCAAAACTGCCCCACTTCTTATTAAGAGAACTAGGCGTCCGGTGTCCAAATGTAAACATCACCATGTGTTGGAAAAATAACCTTCAGATTTGTGCGCTGGCTCAAATTTGGCACAATTAAATCATATGCAAGTCAGACACAAATGCTCACAGCTCGGCAGTAGGGAAACCCTGAAAGCAGTCCTCTGAAAGGGTCAGACTGTGCCTTCCCTGAGCCCGCACCACAGTGACATCCTCTCAAGTCACACAGCACACTATGCACAGGTTCTTTATTCTGTCCTGTGGGGGTCAACACTGCTGACAGAGTGTTGGGAAAATACAACACACACCCAAATGTCACATTGCTCTACATCACAACTTAGGAACTACTGGACAGTTATGTCTACTAAATACAGTGAACAAAACGGTATGTTTACAACCATTCTCCTGTAAACAAGGCTGTGCACAACAGTAACACACAGAATTATGCATACCATGATAGCAAGGAGGAAAATACCTCTTTAAATAAGCTATTCTATTTATAAATAAACTCTGATTATTCTCAGTACACATTTACAGACCTGATCAATAAAAAGAAACAATATATATATATATATATATATTTTCTTTTCCTTTAAAAAGCAAATGTTGAGATATGGACCACATAAGAAAATTCACCTAGGGAAAAGGGAAGGAGCAAGCAGAGGGCATGAGGTTACGAAACTTAATTCTGTGAGCACACACCAACACAAGAACAGGACTGTCTAGGAGGAGCTCATTTTTACTTGAATTCCAGCAAGTTGCAATCAATCTTGTAATATACATAGGGGTAGTATTCTTGCTGACTCAGGTTTAGGCCAGGAATATCCATAGGAGCCTACGGAGAAATCACAAAGGCCAGTTAGTCACTGACAGAACCTTGCATGGACCCTTCATCTGGGCTGAAGCTACGCATTTACTAATTTAATCTGAGTTAGGCATTCTCTTTAAGTACGGGTGGAGTCTGAGGCGCGCAGGAAGGTCAGACTGAGCTGAGCGCCAAAGCTGAAAGTTGTGACTGAACCGGGACTTTCCCGTGTTTTACTGTGTAAACTGTAAAAGTTAACTTTTCAAATCTTGGGTTTAGGGAATAAGGCTTACAAAATGTAGTATCCAAATAAAGTGTGTTTTTAAAGATTTCAGGTCTATTTGTACCTTAAAAGAATTTACTGAGAACAAAGTTTGTACCAAAAATTTACAATTCTTATTTTCTCCAAGATTTTATGAAAAGACAGCAAGTCATTTCCTGCATTTTCTCTTACCAAAACCACTAATTTCTCATTATTCCAATACATACATGAGATACTACCTAACGTGAAAAACAGCAAAGTATGTGTAATTTAAACTATAAAATAAAGGCCTGCTAACATGGTGAAACAACACACACAAACACTGTTGTCATGTTTAGGGTGGCTGGGGCAGTGACTCAGCATGAACACTGGCTCTTTCTCCAAAGGACCTGGGTGCCTCCCGCAGGGCTGCTCACAGCTCAGAGGATCTGCCTCCCTCTTCTGGCCTCTTTAGAATTAAGCACTAAGTGACGTTCAGGCATGCATGCAGGCCAAACACACTTAAACATAAAACTTTAAACCATTTCAGAGAAAAGACATCCCCTTCAAAATGGTCATCTGAGCCAAAGACATGACTCAGTGGGCAAGGGTGCTCACTGCCAAGCCTCCCAATTACCTAAGTTTGAACCCTGGGTCCCACATGGTAGAAGGAAAAGTAACACACACACAAACATACATATGGCATATGTGTATTCTCCCAAAACAAATAAAAACATAAATTGCTAATCTATTGACTCCATTATTTCTACCAAACAAAATTAAAATAATTTCTTATTTTCTTTTTCTTTGCAATCTATAGTTTTTAAGAACTAGACGCAAAGATTGTTTCTGAACTTCTGCAGCTGTAAACATCTGATACACAGTAAGATAATGATGGGCTTCTAGAAACAAGAACAGCTGCACCTAGTGCATAAAAAGAAAGCACTTGCTGCGTCTCCCCGAGGGAGGCGCCCTCTTCAGCCAACACTCGTGCAGCAGTGCCTGCCTTCCGTCTGCTGAGCTGCCATGTACTTACATCGATGATGGCGGCTGCGCTGCTGTCGAGGTGCTTGTACAGCTCGTGTAAAACTTCTCTTAGTTTCTTCACCGTTTTCTTGTTAGGCTGCAGGAGCATGGCCTGGAAGTTCACCGGCAAACCATACCTAAAGCAGCACAGTGGTGTAGTGTAAATGCACACAGGCATTTTCTTTTCAGAGCAAACATCCTTCTGCTTCTCTGCAAGGCTCTCTACGGACACAGCGTGCACCATGTTAACAATCCCTTTACAAGTCTGCCACTAACGCGTAAGCAAGCCTCTGGGTCCACTAGAAATCTGTCAGTAAAAACTGAGCCACGCTGGGGTGCAGCTCACGTCTGTGATCTCAGTGCTGAGGAGGCTAAGACAAGGGCTTGGGTACATTTGAGGCCAGCCTGGGCTTTAGCAGAGGGAAAATAGGCAAACCAATCATGTAATTAATTTTCAACCTCACAGTAAACTATGAATATGCCAGTATACAAAAATAACACAGGGCTAGAAGATATGTTTAAAATTAAAAATTGGGACTTTCTATACCTACTTTAAACATTTTAAAAAATTTAAAGAAGAGAAGCATGGTTTCGTCGAGTAAGTTTTTAAATAATGTCTAATAGGAGCAGCATGTACAGAGGCTCAAAAGACACTTAGTTATTGTAAATTCTATACTACATCTTAAAATAAAACTACATGCAAAATATCTGAGAAATCTTCATTTAAACAAACACTGGCTTTAAAAAAAAAAAAGATAAGGTCTCATTAACTGTGTAAACCAGAGGCTGGCCTTGAATTCAGAGATCTGCCTGCCTCTGCGTCCTGCCTGCAGGGATTAAAAGTGTGAAGCACCACACCAAACGTGGTGAGTACCTTATAATCCATTCTGCTCTTAATTACAAGTCATGTCCACACAAGACATACTTAGCCAACTGAGTTCCAGTGGATGTGATGCCCACTCTTTGGGACTTCATAGGCACTGTGATACACAGACATGCATAAAGGCAAAATACCCATACAAATGATTTTTAATGACAGTGTACACCTAATTCTAATGGAGCTAGAGCTAAGGGTTTCTTTGGAGCAGCACGGTCCGTGGGTTTCCGGCAGAGCTGGGGCAATCACGCCTTATAAACGTATGACATACAGTCAGTCTCAGTGATTGTCGTTACTGGTTCAGTATTTACCACACTGCACTTTGTATTAGTGTATTGTATTCTAATTGCAGGCTTAAGCTCTTACTATACAAGGTTGTGCTGCACCCCACCTCCCAGACTGCATCAAAAGGCTGTGGGGAGCAACGCAGTGATGGGGCACTCAGGAGGCCTACGCTAAAAATGAGTTTGAAATCAGCCAGGAAGAGACTGTATCAAACAAAACAAGTGACCATGTTGAGTAAGTGATACCATAGCAACCAGACAAGCACAGAGCACATCTGTGTACCCCACAATGGAATCACTAACTGCTCACACCTCCTCTCACCCGACAGTACATGAGCACACACTAGAGACAGTGCAGCAGTGTGCTCTCTTCAGAGACTGCTGTTAAAGGACAGTATGCACCTGACAGGCTGTGTGACCCTGACAGTCACTGCCCCGTAACTGTCTCTGTGGCTGCTCCAAATCACCTTCACATGGCTGCACTCATGAGAAAGAAGTACACTCAACTCTGCAGCTCCAACTTTCTCAACTTCTTACCTTAAAACAGACTCAACAAAAACCCTTAGTGCTTTTATATGAATCCACGCAATAAACGCCTCACTGAAATTCACTTTAAGCCACCGCACAAGTGGTCCCTTTAAAAAGAAAAACACAAAATTACCACAAATTTGGTTTGCAAATGGCAATTAGAAAAGTCAACCCTTTTAAAGAAGTAACTAGCCACATTATGAAAGTTTCAGATGTTACGCTGGACACCCTATTGCCTTCCTTCGTGCTCTTAAATGAAAGGGTATGCCACCACTCTGTACCCTCAGCAGACTCGCGTGTGAGCCGGGCTTACCAACAGCAAGGCATGTCTTCAGGAAAGCAGTTTAAACTGGGTTTGAACACACAACCTAATACTCAGCTAGTTAACGCACTTACAGAACTCAGCCTACAGCCGCTAAAGACACAGATATTCCCCACGCCTTCTTCTGAGGCTCTGAAACCTGCTCATCTTCTATGTTCTCCTACTTCTTTGACAAAGCAAGTTCTTGTTGAACTTGCACTTAGCATAATTAAAAACTTCTGCAAAGACAATACCTCCACTGTCCACCTATAGAGACATCAGTAGTGACTCGGTTACCACTTCAGTTAGGTAACGTATGGGATCATTTGGATGTGCCAAGCAATTAATTCAGGCAAAGAGGATACAACAAAGTGAAAAGTTCTGATCAAAATGTTTGCTCTTTGAGCTGCTGTGGGCAATGGCACTGAAAACATTTACTTGCACAAAGCAGAGCAGGCTGGCGGGCAGAGCAGGGTCAGACTGCCCCCTGCTGTGAAGAACGCAGGACTGGACCTGGGTGTGCTTCCCACAGGCATCTCCGGCACACAGCCCGAGCTCTGGGAATTCATACACATGTACATCAACACATATGGTTTTTCTTTCTTTCTTTTTTTTTTTCTGAGACAAGTTTTCATGTAGCCAAGGATGACCTAGAATTTCCCGATACTCCTGCTTCTTCCTCCAATGCTGGGATTACAGGTATATGCCACCACAACCAGTTTCTGTCAATGTGGCACGGGGCCTTTGTATGTTAGTTAAGCACTCTACTGAGCGGTACCTTCATGCAATACTTTCATTTTTCTAGTACCAAATTATAAACTGCTTTTCATGATGCTTCTCTCTGAGACTCTGAAGCTTTCAGTATCTCTAGAATGCATTTTTTCAGTTTCCTAAGACTCAGAAGCAAAATAAGCTCTAAAAGTTCCAATGAAGACTGCAACAGGAGCGCAATGGCTCCGGGTAAAGGACATTTGCTGTTCACATAAAAAGACCTGAGGTCAGATCCCTGAACCCAGGTTAAAAAAAAAAAAAAAAGCCAGGCATGGTCACACACGTTAGTAACCCCGGTGCCGTGGGAACTGGTGACGGGAGGGACCTGATGTTTGCGGGCTGCCTATAATCCCAACACTCTGAAGCTGAGTCAGGAGAATCACCCGGAGCTCAAGACAGCCCTGGGCCACACAGTGAGTTCTGCCTGGCCTCTGGGATGAAACCTGTCTCAAAAAAGAAGTAAAGTAACCAAAATCAACTATCTTAAAAGGAAAGACCAGAGAACTTTTCCCCTTTTCCAAGTCAAAGACAGGCAAGAGCACATATGGTCTGCTGAGCACTGGCCATGCTAAGGAAGACCACATACAAACTGCTTCTTCTTGTCTGTAGACAACCTGTTCATTTCTTCTTTATCTGCTCTCATCTCCTCCTCGTTATACTGGAAGTCACGAACTATGAACCTGAATGTGGAGGAAAAAAAAACCAAGTTTGTCCATACCACATACAGCCAATCCAACAGATTAAAATCATGTGCAAACATTCATGAGAAGCACGGTCAGACTTACTTGTTTTCTCTGGCTTTGTGTCGGAAATCATCAACTGCTTTTCTAAACAAGGTGACGTTACATAGATAACTGTCTTGGTCCTCTGAAAGAACACTAGAGGGGGAAAGTCACTGTGAGTTCCACAATATTGTGAAATTCAAAAACAGGGAAGAACTCGAAGCAGCGCCTCCCTCTTCATCTGCACTGCCTCCCACAGGGAAGATGGTCCTGTCTGGGATGCGCTCTCATTAGGATGCCTTCACACCCTCCCTTACACTTACTAGCTAACAAACGCTCTCTTCACTAAGAAAAGCCACACTACAGAGCATGCTGTTCAGTTTCTAGCACCAGGCTGGCTGCTCAAACTGTCTGTTCTTGTCTCATGGTATTTCTTCCTCTTTCCAGTCCAATCCAGCAAGCCCACCAGGTCTGGCTCAGCTGCTCCGCCGCCATCACCTCACAGCCCAGGTGTTCAAAGACTCACCCAAGTCACACAGCAAGTTGAGAAAAAACCATCAATAGGGTCCATGATTTCCTATTACACTAAGCTAACTCCCAATGAACTGGAAAAGAAAGTACTCCATGGCTTGACCTTACTAACTTCACTTCCTCCCTGTCTTCCACGCCTTCTTTTATGAGAACATCTGTGGCAGCAATAGTGGGCACAGGCTGATGACATGGGTCATGAGCTACAATGGCATTGCCTTGCCCCTGGGCACTGAAAGTCATGTGCCTTAGATCACTTAAAGGCGGCTTCCTACCTGTGAGGAAATTAGCACCTGAACTGCTTCACAACACTGCTTTAGGTGACAAATGACAATATACATTAACTCACAACTCCACGTGTTTAACTAAAAAGGCAAATATTCCGTTGCTTTTTAAAGATGTACAGATCTAGTCTCGTATCTCTTCTCCAAGTGATAATGAAATCTGGAGATCAGCACAGCATCCAGGAGATGCCTGGTGCAATTCCTGTGGGAGGCAAATGCACCTCGCTCCCAGTGGACAGAGTGCACAGTGGACAAGGCTTCAGAAGGCAGCAAGATGGAGCTGGCTCTGGTCCTCATCCTGCCGTTAGCTAGAAGTAAGACTGGGCAACCAACTTCATCTCATTCTCCTCAAACGTCTCCGTCTACAGAAATGAGGGGTCAAACTGGCTATGCCAAGTCCCTTCTAGATATAAAATGATAACTAGAGTTGACAACTTATGAAGTAAAAATGATGGTTCTAAAATTACAGATTCACTGAAAGAAAACACAGACCACGAAGCTATTTCCTACTCCCACAAGCTGTGGAAGACTTAAAAGCACTGCTGCCAGACAGCCGCTTACTTGCTCGACCTCGGGACTACCATCTCCGCGAGTGTTTCATACTGCTTAATCCAGTCGTTGTGGTTCAGCCTGCAGAAAACATGGGCACAGTAAACATGGGAGGGGAAACAAGTCCTACTTCCGCCATGCCCAGGAAGAGAAAACATGGGACAGTTAGGAAGTGTGGCCAATAATGTACCATATATATGTAGCAAAACTACTGAGAACATGCCTCAAACCCATGGAGTGAAGTAGGAAGTACTCATCGCCTGCCTCCCTGGGAGCTAGTAACTGTTGCAACAGAGGCGCAGCCGAGAGACTGGTTTGTTAAGGTGGAAAAGCACAGTTAGATTCTATGTTATTCTTAAACTACATGGTTGGAAAACAGACCTCATTCTAAAAACAGAAGAGGCCTTGGGAAATCACTACCATTTGGTGCTCATTGTAACGGATTGAATAAAACTCTATTTACAGAAAACAGGGTGCACCCCAGGAAGTAGCGAGGAAGCCAGTGGCAGTAATGATGCTGCCTCCGAATGCTGTGCAACAGTTTTCTGGAAAGGCCGCTGGCTTCGGGGTCTGGAGGGATAGCTATGTGTGACTTACAGTGCAGTATTGGAGGCACGGGGGATGCATTATGTAGAGTGACCTGCAGGGCTCCGGGTTCCACTTTAAGGTACAAAAGCTGACATTTTCTAATCATAAATTTTAAAGAAAGCCAAATAAAAAAATATGGGCAAAAGTTATTTTCCTGTAAGCTATAAAAGCAAAGATAAATAGAATAAATAAAGATAAATTTTGAATAAACAGTATGCTCTAATGTTCTCAATATTCTATGGAAGAGCTGTGTAAGGAAAACAAGAAACAAAGCTTTCCACACTGGGCACAGCGGGCATGCCTATGAGGCCAGCTACACATGCCCATGACCCCAGTGCCCAGATGTGAAGGCAAAAGCAGCAGAAGCTCCAGGCCAGCCAGACCAAAGTGCCAGTTCAAGGACAACCCTTCAGAGCCTCGCTCTCCTCCACAGATGCAGAAAAGTCCAAAAACCTGTGGACTCAAATAGAGGAGGCATGCACCAACTCAGAAAACCTAGTCCCCTACTATTCCTCTCCACCTTCTCCAGGAACCAGTGATTTCTCTTCTTTCCCATCACAAATCTGCCATGGCAGCTCAGATTCCCCCAGAGATGTCAACAAGACCTTGGCCATTAAGAGTGAAGAGTGCCTCTCTCACACACAGGCTTTTGCTGCTGCTGTTGCTCTGAGACAGGGTCTTTTATGTATCTGCTGGCCGGATGTCTGCTAAGTAGACCATGTTGGCCTCGGCTTACAGAGATATGTCTGCCTCTGTCTGCCGGGTGCTGGAAATAAAGACACGTCCCACTACCATATGAGCCATACAACTCAGTTCTGCTCTTATCAGGCCTCTCCAAAACTACACATGCTCAAATAGTCATATAGAAGGCCTCATCAAAAGGAGCTTCCAAAGGGTTATTAAATATAAAGGTCAGTAAACAAAACTGTACTTCCTTGCATACCTCTGTGGCTGCTTCAGCTCTCTAACCAAGTGACACGGGAGAGCTGAGCAGCTACGACAGCCGCCTGGCCACAGACACTATGCAGCCCTTCATAGAATTCTTTTTGGTTTTTCAAGACAAGGTTTCTCTGTGTAGCTCTGGCTGTCCTGAGACTCACTCTGTAGACCAGGCTGGTCTTGAACTCACAGAGATCTGCCTGCCTCTGCCTCCCAAGTGTGGACTAAGGATGTAAACCACCGCCCGGCTCACATTCTTCATTCTTATGGGGTTCAAGTTCACCTCAACTAATCATAAATATTTTTCAGAATAACAATTCAATGGCCTGATTTTGAAACATGTGTGTTTAAACTTTTAATAATAAAATTACTTAGTTTATTAGTTAGCCAAGCCTACGGATTTATAACTGAGCCTCCACACTGTGGAGCCTCCACACTGTGAACCGAATTTTACCGCATGTGCCCCATGAACAAACGTTTCCACAGAGCTGGACTCGTGTTGTACTTGAGTTTTAGAGACTCTGGTAACAGACATACTTGGGGACAACCACCAGTAGCGTGACCAGGTACTCTGAGTCAAGAACAAAGTCATCTTTCTTCACGATTTCTGCCAGGCTCCGAGTCAGCAAACTTCCCCTAAAGAATGAGAGGAGATTCATTGGTGGGTAAGTGTGCGCTTCCATGACACAAGAAAAGAAAGAAGCTAAACAACATCATAAACGCTCAGTGCTTAAGAGTACTTGTGCCTGCAGAGGACCCAGGTCCAATTCCCAGCACCCACACAGTGGCTCAGTTGCAAGGGACCTGACACCGTCTCCTACACCTGGTGCACGTACACACACGCAGGCACAACGGTCACACACAGTAGCCAGAGAGGCGTCAATGTCTGTCAAACTGGCCTCTCAGTCTGACTCTGCGAGTTTAATCCCTGCAGTCCAGCGTCTCTAATTACAACCTCGGCTGGGAGAGCCGCAGTCACCAGACACCAGAGCGCCTCATCCTAATTACCAAATTACATCACCTAAGCACACCTGTGTTCTCTCCCTTTCCCTCATATCGCTACCAGACAGTTCTGGACTAGCACAATAATCAACTTTCCAATCAGCCTTTATTTGGTCTTCCAGGAATGAGAATGCCCTGTCTCGTCTGTGCCAGAGCCTACCTTCAGGCAGCTTTTCCCTGGGCTATCTATAGCTATGTACTTAACTATACTTGGTGGTTAAGAGTACTTGCTATACAACATGTGGACTTGAATCCAGACACCAGCATCCATGTAACAAGCTGTGCACAGTCACGCACATACCCAAGAACTATAGGGCATGGAGACAGGATGGTCCCTGAGGCTTGCAAAGAGTGACAGAGGAGACCCGATGACCTCCTCTGTGCATCACAGGTACACACAAAAGCATGCGCACCACCCACTCAAACACCACACTCTCACACATTTAAAATAAAACAAAACACTTGACTCGTATGGGCCCCCCCTCCCCCAGAAACCAACAAGAAAACAGCTTGAACTACACTTGCAGTGACATTACAACAACCAAATATGGTTACAAGCAAATGCTTCAAAATCCTAAACCTGGAAAACAGAGAAAGTAGAAAATAATCATTACAGCATAAACAGGTTATTATGTAAAATTTTTTAAATGGTACGTAATTGCTATATAATGATTTGATTTAAAATAATTAACCTTACAAAATTTTCAGTGAAATATCAAATGGATAAGGAAATAAGCCAGCATCCAGGTGACAAGTAAATTTATGAGTTTAATTTACGAGTTTATGAGTTTTTAAATTTATGAGTTTATCCATTTAAGTTTAATGAATCAGCTTCACATCTGTTCTGAATTGTTCAAGTTCTGTAAAATTACTTAACTTTCCCATGAAAATTTAACAAACTATTAAGAAGTATTTTGTGCACGCCTTGTGCAGAGGAGCCTGTAGATAGGGGAGGGCATCAGAAGTGCGGTTACAGGTGAGTACTGGGACTACCGTAGGTCCTCTGCAAGAGCAGCCAGCACTCTGACTGCTGAGCCATCCGTCCAGCTCCCCACAAATCACTGATTACAGAAACAGCACAAACTGGCCCCACACTCCCACACTTAGCATCCACAACACTTGAGAGCTTACGCATTCTTTCGCTCCAAATTCTGAAGATTCCCCTTCAGATTATTATATGCGGACGCTCGAGACTTCAGGTCATTATCAATCTGAGTTACTCCCTTCAAAAGAAGAAAAACAGGCAAGCGTTTCCAAGGTTTGCCTCTACCAGTACAATTTAAACAGCTTCTGACTAAGAGTATGTGATTACAGTCAAAGTACAACTTTAAAAGCACATTTAAAAAAAATAAGAAACTTTGTTTTTAACAAAATTTCATAGGGGATCTTTTACAGTGTATTAGTCCGTGTACTCAACGGCTTCTGTCACATCAATTCTCCAACCAAGTACAGGTCTTTAATCCCAGCTCTCAAGAGGCAGAGGCAGGAGGATCTCTGTGAGCTGGAGGCCAGCCTGGTCTACACAATGAGTTCTAGGACAGCCAGGACTACATAGAGAGACCTTGTCTCAAAAAACAGAGGAAAATCCTAAAAAGCATTTCATAGCTATAACATACAAACACACACACACACACACACATACACACTTCATATACATACAATATATAATTTAAACAAATTTTCTATAAATCAGTGTGTCCCACCTGCCTCAATTTTGGTCTTACCTTGGCAATTATTTCAGAAATGTTTTTCAGAGATTGCTTGATTGGATATTTGGCCATATCCCACTGGAACCTTGTTATATAAGTAACCAAGTCAACTGAAATAAGGTAATAAATTAATTACTGAAGAGAAGTTGTAGTATTTTTTGTCCTGGAACTTACTCTATAGACCAGGCTGGCCTCAAACTTAGAGATCCATCTGCCTCTGCCTCCTGAGTGCTGAGACCAAAGGAGAGAGCCACTACATCTGTCTGTTTTGTTGCTGGTCTTTAAAAAGATTTATTTATTTATTTATTATGCTAACAGTTTTCTGCCTGCATGTATGCCCACACACCAGAAGAGGACACCAGATCTCATTACAGATGGTTGAGAGCCACCGTGTGGTTGCTGTGAATTGAACTCAGGACCTCTGGAAGAGCAGCCAGCGCTCTTTACCTGAACCATCTCTCCAGCGCCAAGGCTGTCTTTTAACATAGGCAAAGATAAGTGTGAATGAGACTAGAAGAACAATGAAATTAAGACTTATTTTATGTTTTAGTTACATATCTGAGGTGGAGGGGCAGGTATGTATAGATGAGTGTACATGCCTGCAGAGGCCAGACAAGATTCCTGAAGTTACAGGTTGTTGTGAGTCATCCACTGTGTGTGCAAAGAACTGAACTCAGGTCCTCTGGAAGAGCAGTATGTGCTCTTAACCTCTGAGCCATCTGTCCAGCCCCAGAACACTAGATTTTTTTTTAAAAGTACTATTATTGGTTGTGGTGGTACACACCTTTAATCCTAGGTAGAGGCAGGAGAACCTCTGTGAGTTCAAGTCCGACCTAGTCTACCTAACAAATTCTAGACCAGCCAGGGCTACACAGTGAGACCCTGTCTCAAAATTAATTAAATAAATAAAATCAACAATAATGAGATCAAAGCATTCTTTATAAAGCTATCATTACAGAACAGGCTCAGTATACATTATTAACTTAGAGCTACAGACACATACATCAGTAGTCTATTTTATGGGCACTAAGAAAAGCAGCATTTTGAGGGGAAAGAGGCATTACCCTGTAATGAATCAATCATTCTAAGTAGAAAACAGGAGTATCTAACTGCAATGATGCTGAGATGCTCAGCTTTAAGTCGTTTCAGACCGGGGAGCAAAGCCTGCACCTTACCCTACATTCTGTGCCACCTAAGAGTGACATGAGATTACATCCAGGGGACAGACATGACTGGTAACATCACCAGCAGCAGCCTCACCTATGGGCTTCTAATCTTCTCTGCTTATGTTTCTAAGCCACTCACATTATATATACACTAACAACTGTAGGTCATAAAAGATCAGCTCACCTCCACTGGCCAGCAAGTTCTCCTGAACTTTATCTTTACTGTCCTCCAACACGTCAGCCATGTACTGAGCCACTTTCTTGACCACTCTGGGAAGTTTAAAAAAAAAATCATTTTTAGAAAAAAAAAAAGCTATAAAATAACTGTCACACTAGGACATATTATTTAATGAATCCCACCTTATATAAAACATGACATATAATAGAGTATTTGATAACAATGAATATAAGGGAATATCGTCTGCTAATAAGAAGAAATGAGCTGAGCATGGTGGTACACGCTTGCAGTCCCAGTGTAGGGAGAGCAGACAGGAGGATCTTAGGGCTTGCTGGGCAGTAGCTTACCTGAGTCTGCAAGCCCCACAGGCTCCACTGAGGACACCTGCACACATGTGTGCCTCCATGAACATGCTCTCACACCCCAGGTACACACAGATACACACGTGCACACACACAAATATACACAAAACATTGACATATAAAAAAAGAATCCAGTCATTTCCCCAAATCATCCACCTAGCACAGAGTACTCTGGAAGACTCTCCAGAGATCAGGACGCTGACAACAGAATCTCACTTCGTCCAATCCCACACATGCAGATACATTACCCTTCTACAAATGCATCCAGTTTAGCCAGTTCATCCGACAAGCCAACCAAGACATCCAACGTGCCAACCTAGAAGGGAAATTCAACATAGTACTCAGCTTCCATTGCTGTCACTCCTTTTAACTGAAGGTCTTACTATGTAACCAAGGTGAACCTCAGGCTTCCGTCCCCAGTCTCCCCAGGGCTGGGACTATAGGCTCACAGCACCACACCGGGCTCCCACCCCTTAAGAGGGGAGGGGCTGTTTTTATTTTGCTTTGAGGCAGGATCCCTTCTAGTCCCTGTGGCCAAGGCTGGCCTTGAACTCCTGCTCTCCCTGCCTCAGCTGTCTGAGTGCTGGGATCAGGCTGGCACTAGTCCTCCCAGTTCCACATCCCTTTACCTTTAAAAACAAACAAAAACTAGATGATATATCTTTATTTGAAAGGGCCACAAACCTTACATTCTCCAGTTTTATTTCATAAAATACAGCAAAAAAAAAAAAAAAAAAAAAAAAGAAAAGGAAAGGAAAGGTCGTGGGACATTTAAGTGCATATTTATGTAGGAGGTGATTCTCTAGGGAGAAAGCACCACTCATGAAAACTTGGCACTTCATAAGCAGGCCTGTGCTTGCTTTAAACAGGCCAGGGACAATGGCAATGTGAAGTTCTGCTGTACAACAGGGCCCCAGGACGGGTCTGGGGCTGTCTATGAGGGCCTGCTGTTGACTCTGTATGCAGAACTGTGTGCCAAAGATCATGCTTTAGAAGTAAAATGCTGTTAGCCTGGCTGGTGGCGCACGCCTTTAATACCAGCACTTAGGAGGCAGAGGCAGGTGAATCTCAGTGAGTTTGAGGCCAGCCTGGTCTACAAAGTGAGTTTCCGCACAGCTAAGGCTACACAGAGAAACCCTACCTCAAAAAACCAAAAAGAAATAAAGTGCTGCTTTCGCAAAAGTTCAGGTAACATTCTGGAGCCTGCCTCATAACTGCTAGACCATGGGTCTTCAATAAATGTTAAAAATATTCACCCGGGGTGGGGGGGGGGTGGCGCATGCCTTTAATCCCAGTACTCAGGAGGCAGAAGCAGGCGAATCGCTGTGAGTTTGAGACCTGCCTGGTCTGAAAGAGTTAGTTCCAGGGCAGGTTCCAAAAGATACAGAGAAACCCTATCTCAAAAAACAATAAAAAAAAAAATCCAATTGAGTAAATAATGTCTAACTAGGCACTGTGGTAACAGACTATAAACAATAACGGAAATATTCCTGCGATATTTAAAAATAAATACTAAGACTCTTCTCTCCTGAAAATCCCATGTGATGTAGTACCAAGGCCTCCTATAACCAGAGAAACATGGGAATGAGACATGACTTCAGTGACTTCCTCGTGACATCCAGAGACCAGGAGCCGCTCTAAATCACATCAACAGCCAGGGAGGAATGACTTTACTTCTCAAGGAACCTAGAAATTCACTTCTGACAGAACAAAAAGTGCCCTCCCCGGGCTCCCCAACTGCAGTTTTCTGCGCAGTACAGCCGCACCTTCAAGTCAGGAATGTTGAACTTGGAAGAAACCGCCAGGTTATTGTTCTTCGTAGTTGCTGCGTGGAGTTTCTCCCATGTTTGCTGACAGGTTTTCTCCCCAGGAGCAGATATGAGCCAGAACTCAGTCATGTTGGTTATCTCTTTGGAAATCAACGGAGAAGCTGTAATATTAAAGCAGAACAGTAACACTGAATGTCTAAAGTACAATCTTACATCAGTCGGGATCTAACATGGCCCCAGCCAGAGGTGCTACTGGGGACTACAAAAGGGGAGGGAAGATGGGAAACGCATTTGAAGGGGATATTGGGACCTTGGCCCCTCTTTCCTTCACCTGTTTTGATCTAGGATCTCAATGTTTTGCCCAAGCTGGCCTCAAACTTGGGTTCCAGCACTCTTCCCACTCTGGCTTCCCAAGACTGCAATTCCAGGAACAGGCCACCAAGCCTTTCACTGCCATGAGGAACACAGGACTTGGCTGTGTGGAGATGGCGCACGCCTTTAATCCCAGCACTCAGGAAATGAGGCAGAAGAGGAGCTCTTGAGTTTGAGGTCAGCCTGGTCTGCAGAGTTCCAGACAGAGAAACCCTGTCTCAAAAACCACACACACAAGAAAACAGGACTTTCTGGCTGCGTGGGCAGGCTTGCTGCACTGAGGCGCAAAAGCCCCCACAGCTGTCAGCCTCTGCTTGCTGTCTTGGCCACTGGCCTTGGCTATTTTCCAGTCTGGTTTCTTCCACCTAATACTCTACAGTCACCAAACTATTTTACCCCAGATAGCAATCAGGAGACTATCCTGACTGTGCCACACTGGTCTATCAGAGAATCTACTGGTATCTTTAAGCCTCTGGTTGTTTTGTTTGTTTAACAATATGGAGATTAAACCCGGGGCCTCAGGCATCTCAGATAAACACCAAGTCCTTTCCCAGTCCTCCAGAAACAGGGTTTCACTAAATTGCCTAAGTTAGGCTTGGAGTCTCTTGGGTTTCTCCTGCCTAGGCCTTCCAAGTAGACAGGACTACAGGCCTGTTGTGAGCCCAGTCTGAGCCACCTTTAATAATACCAATTTCCTTGGGGGCCTCAGTTAGGGGAATTTGATGTTTTACTGCATGTTCACACCAGAAAATCTGGTAAAGGGTACTTGTGGGTGTATTTTTCTACAGCAGGTAGACAGCAGGTAAGGAAACCAACTGCTCTAACTCTGTCAAGAGCGTATGGCTGAGCTCTGCCCTTTGTCCAGTGGGGGCCAGTACATGTCCATCTCCCCACTCTATCCCATTTGGCCCGCGATGTCCCAAAGACTCCTGGAAACACTGAAGACCCTATTTTCCATCTATAAACAGCACACACCTCTCTCCCCCACTGAGCCTTTACCAGGATAAAAGGAAATAATATCACAAATCTTTCTCCACACAGCAGAGCAGCGTCTGGGCACACCAGGAAGCTAAGTCTCGCTTTGGACCAGAGCCCTTTAGGGAGACGAGAAAAGATGGCAAAGTGGCCTTTGCATTTGGTACTAAAACACACGGGTCTCCAAGCTGCCTCATTCCGTTCTCACAGTAACCCTGAGAAGCTCACAGCTTAGTTGTGTACCTGAGGGCACAGCACACAACTGAGATCCGGGTCTAGCCTGGACTTAGAAGGCTGCGTCCTCTAAAGGACTCTTTCCTGTGCTGGGCCGGAGAGGAACGCTAGCATGTGTGTGTGTGCACTGCACGTGTGTGCACTGCACATGTGTGTAGGTGGGAGAACTGACTTTCCTGTGCTGGGCCGGAGAGGAACGCTAGCATGTGCGTGTGTGCACTGCACGTGTGTGCAGGTGGGAGAACTGACTTTCCTGTGCTGGGCCAGAGAGGAACGCTAGCATGTGCGTGTGTGCACTGCACGTGTGTGCAGGTGGGAGAACTGACTTTCCTGTGCTGGGCCGGAGAGGAACGCTAGCATGTGCGTGTGTGCACTGCACGTGTGTGCAGGTGGGAGAACTGACTTTCCTGTGCTGGGCCGGAGAGGAACGCTAGCATGTGCATGTGTGCACTGCACATGTGTGCAGGTGGGAGAACTGACTGTGGGGTTGTTTGTTGGCTTAGGCAGTGTCTCTGGTGTCTCTGGAGTGACCTCCACCTCTCTCCCTCACCACAGGGGCAGTGATCACAGGGTGCCCTGGCTGGGCCTGGGCTCATGCAGTTAAGACTCTCACCCACTTCACACCTTCCTGGCCTGTATTTCTTCAAAATTGTTGAATGAATAACCTTGAGGATTACATGATGATTTAACAGATAAATTGAATTATAGTTGCTTATCTACTTTCCCTGTTCCTACTCTTGATCTAATCTATACACAAATACACCCATCTTAAGGCTTCAATCAAATCTAGAGTCATATATGGACCTGTTAAACCACTGCCCAAACCAAAATAAACATTTGTAGTGACTCCTGCTTTTAGCCCCAAACAAAGAAGGCAGAGGCAGGGAGAGCTCTTTGAATTTCAGGCTAGTTAGGACTATAGTAAGATCCTGTCTCCAAACAAAACAAAACAAAACAAAAAGAAAACCGTATTTTTAATTCAGGAGGGTTGATTCATTTGAGAGGCTGAAACAGGATTACCAGGAGTTCAAGGCTGAGTGAGTTACACAGCAAGACCCTGTCCCAGAACTCAAAAACAAAGTCAGGCACACGTGCTGGCACGTGCTTACAACCTCAGCACTCAGAACCACCTGAGACCGTCTCCTTAAACCTCGTCCGTCCCATCAGTCCTACTCCGCTGTCAGCCCGGGCAGATGTGCTCCGTAGGCCCGGCTTCTGCAGCTGCAAACGCTCCTGCACTGCTCGGAACGCCACTGCGCACCTCCACAGCTCTGCTTACCTGACAGTGGACGCTGCAACTCAAGGCATTTTATGAACAAATAATTCTGTGAAATCAAGTTTCCATTTATCTTGGGAGAACATTGCAGAAATAAACTTTGGGGGAGGGGGTGTTAATACAGGGTTTCTCTGTATCCCTGGCTGTCCGGAAACTCACACTATAGACCAGACTGGTCTTCAACTCAGAGATCCGCCTGCCTCTGGTTCCCGAGTTCTGGGTTTAGAGTCGTGAGCCACCACTGCCAGCCAAAAGTGCACTTTCTAAGCAGATCACTATGGTTTCTTTGACCTCAGAGCAGCTGCCAAACTGTTTTCCAACAAGAGAACATCTTCTGTTCTCCATTATTAAAGTGCTCAAGCTCCAGTCTTCAGTCAGTGGCCGCAGGTGTGTCCTGCATTCCCACAAGGTGTGATGAAATTCAGTATCTTTTCACCTTCTCTTACAGTTCCTTTTTAAATTACTTGCGCACATATATGTACATGTGTGTATGTGTAGGGGCCAGAGGGCAGTCCTAGGTGTGCTCCTCCAGCATCCACCACCCTTTCTGAGACAGGGTCCCTCACTGGCCTTCAGCTTACCTAGCAGGCTTGGCTGGCTGGCCAGTGAGCCCCACGGACCCTCATGTCTCTGCTTCGCTAGCACTGGGATTACAAGCACCAACAGGCACACCTGGTCTTTTTCTATTGTTTTCTTTCTTTTCTTTTTTTTTTTTTTATGAGTCCTAAGATTGAATTTAGGCCCTTATGTTTGCACAACAAACATTTTACTGATGGAGTTCCTGTGTACAAATTAAGTACACACACTGACACTCACACACACACAGACACACACACACACACACACACACACAAAATAAAACAATACTGAGACTGAGTTACTACTGAATTCTAGAGTTTTGTACACCGGTAAAATTTGAAACGCAATCAGCTTTGCATGCACAATTAGCCCTGTACCACTATAACCTGAGCTGGTTGATTTCTAGAGAAAATGTTGACTTGGCTCGATACTATAGAGGTCTAGTCTAGACGGCACTCCACTCAGGCACTCCACATCATGGCAGAAACACACAGGAGAGAAGAGGAGGGACAGGAACCCCACAGGTCTCAGAGGCACACTACCAATGCCCTAAAGACTTCCCACTTAGCCCCTCTGAGAGTTTCCACTATCCCGTCCACACAGACGGACATGGACAGACGCACACACACCACATAAGATCCCCCTACTGGGCTGGTTCAGCGGTAGAGCTCTTGCCTAGCACTAGGTCATGAGGCCGTAGGTCTCATCCCTAGTACCACAAAAATATATAACCCAAGCAACAACACAGAGGTATTTGTGGTTTATTTATACCCATGTGGTTTTTGTTTGTTTTCAGACAGTGTCTTTCTATGTAGCTCTGGTTGTTCTGAACTCTGTGTCGACCAGACTGGCCTTGAACTCACAAAGATCTGCCTGCTTCTGCCTCCCAAGTGTTGGAATTAAAAGACCACTATGCTGGCTGTCTTTTTAAATAATGGCTTCACTGTATTGCTGTACCCTGCTCATATTCCACCCCTCCACCCACCCTCACTACCCTCTAATGTAAGCAGGTAAAATCTAGAGAGTCCACAACAGAAAACACCCTGTCTCCTCAGGCTTCTTTCTCCCCAGCAAACAGTCCCCCTTTCTATGTTCAGTTGTGTGTGTGTGTGTGTGTGTGTGTGTGTGCGCGCACACACGCACAAAAGACAAAGACATACACATATTTTTAATTTAGGATTTTCTGTTTGAAAATTTCCATTTTCTTCACATTTGATACTGTCCATTAAATCACTGGTCACATTCCTAATCTTCACGTTATCTTCCTTCTGAGAATGCTGGAGGCCCAAACAGCGGGCTCAGGGCGAAAGCACTTAACTCCAAGCTCGATGACTAAGTTCCATGCTTTAGAATTCACATATGGAAGCAGAGCAGTTTCCTGCAGGTCTTCTCTGACGTCCACACATGTTCGTGTACACAAATGCACACACACACACACAATGCAATGTCTTAACAAATGTCTTACTACATACCCTGACTAGCCTGGAGCTTGTTATGTACACCAAACTGGCTTCAACTCACAGAGATCAGTCTGCCTCTGCTTGCCCACTGCTGGGATGCTGAAATGAGCCAACAAGCCCAGCCGATTTTTTTAAAAAAGACAATGCTTTGTTTTGCTCTGGAAGGCACCTAGATACTTGATTTTGTTTTCCTTTTAAAGAGTGTTGTATTGGACTAGAAATACAGCTCAGGGACTTGCCCAGCAATCCCTCAGCCTGGAAACAG